TCATGAACCACAAATAACTTATGCTAGAGAGGCCAAGGTAACACCCATCACCAGCTACATCAACATTTGACCATCAAAGTCGTAAAGAGTTAATCCCATCGAGTGTGACATGAGATGGGTCCACTACTCCCACTGTGATTCCTTGTTAGTCAAGGCAGTTGTCACTTGAAACAGGCTCGAAAGGATGTTTGTGGACTATGAACTCTCCACTAACACCGTCTTTTTTGAGTACTAATCAAAAAAATGCATGAAAAATGTATTTTATATACTTATTCGGGTTTCTTTACTTAATAAATTGAGCAAATATCTATCTAATTTAATATAAATTATTAACTATAGGAAATTTCCCAATTTGGATGCAATCTACGTGAAAAAAGATGATTTTGAGCTAAATTGGAGTTAATTCGAAGTAATTGAAGATCAATCATTTCCATTTTATAAATACGAAGCATAAATAGAGTAGTTAGAGGAGATTGACAAGTTTTGAGGGCTAAACTCAACATTGGAAAAGTTTGAAGACCCAATTGCAAACTTCTAGAACTTAAATCAGATCAGTTATGGTATAATAATTTAAAGATCAACGATCCAAGATGCAATTAGGAAGAGACTCGATATGGAGAAAGAGAAAATTCAGGGACCAAGTTGCAAAAGTGAGAACTTCCTAGGCCTTCAGATTGCAAGGTGTAAACCTTTGTGATCACAAAGGCTTACAAGTTTTCAACGGCAAGTTCAAACACTTGTGTGTGGCCATCACGGCCATATCGGTGATGCGATCCCACAGAGGCCATTTCAGCCTGGATTAATTTATTTCCTTGCATGATTATACCTTTTCATGAAATAAGGCTTTGACCTTGTTTTGAGGTTATAAATACATGCTTTCATCTACAATTAGTAGGGGAGCTTGTACATAAAATAACATGTATCTTACAAGAGGAGGCTATAGGTTAGTAATTACATAATTCTTGCAACTTTATGGAATCTTTTGATACAAAACATTCATTCCATATCAATTTCATATATTAATTGCTTGGATTTGAAGAAGAAGAAGAAGAAGAGGAGGAGGAGGAGGAAGAAAATTCAATAACCTTTAAAGGAATTCAAAATTCATGATTAATCTTCATTTTTCTTCTCGATTTCAACTCTGGATATCGTTGCGTCGATTCAATCCTTGTTACTGTATTCATATATGCTTTACTAGTTATATAGATGATATGATACAATGGAACCTATATTTTGATTTTTTTTAATATAACTTTTCGATTTTAACACTTAAATACTTGTTTGGTTTCGAATGATTGTTATGAGTTTAAGGCTTTTCAATTAATTGGCACTAACTGATTAGATGTGCGATTCTATAATAGTTCAGTAAAAGGAATAGAAAATATAGTACTTGACAGTGTTCTAAAAAGTGTAAAGTAAGGTTAGGCGTGTAGGCTAAACTTCAAGTTTAAGGGAGCCTAGACGAGACTTATGTGTAAAAAAGGTTTTCTTATTTTTAATCATTTAATAATTAAAATAATACAGTTCAAACATCTAAAATTATATAATACTATATTTACTTAATAATTCATACCATGAGTCAATTATACAATTTTCAAGTTTTCGAAATACAAAAACTATTATATTTTTTATAGTTTCAATTTTCAACTAGACAAGTCTTAATAGATTTATAAGAATTTTATACATGCTTTTAAAATTTGCAATAAAATAACGAGTTTTGGAATCATAATTATATAATGTAGACAATACCATAGTTTAAATCTTACTTAACTATTTAAATAAAGTCATTTTTAACTTTTGTACTAATAAAAATTTTTAAAACTTGAAATCGAAGTCAAATGACAAGTTTTTTTTTTTTTTAGAAAGCTAAAGTCAAATAAATGACCTTTAAAAAAAAAAAAAAACTAATAAAGTACGTCTAAGAAAGACGAAAAAGAGGAAGGAAAAAAAATTGGGAAAAAAAAGTCCATATGCGAACCGAGACATTTTGCCCGAGCATCTAGCTCAGGTGATGCCAAGGCGAGTTTTTTAGAACACTGAATTACATGGTAACAATCATTGTGAAGTCTTATAGACATTACTTATAATTTTCTATGCTTTGCATATTTTGTTGAATATTCTTGTATTTTAATACATCTTTATATATTCGCATTAGGGATAGGATATTTTGGGTCATATGCGGGGGTATATTTAATGCTGTCTAGGAGAGTTTAGAAAACAAGATATGAACATTGATCTTCCAATTCAAATAAATACTGTCAAAGTCTTGGGTCAATATTAAGATGGAAGAATGTAGGCGATTCTAGGTCATACAGTTACTTGAGTTTCATAAATGCTTTCATAATTAATTAGATAAGTTATGTTAGTTAGTTAGTTTAGGTTATTATATAAATAATCCCTCTTTATAATTGTATTATTGTATTAATTGATTGGAGTTAAGTTAATTGAAAACTAGATTAGATATTTAGACCTCGTGGAATCGATACTTGAATTCAAGTCCACTTTATTACTTATTTATGACATCATCTACTGTGGAGACTTTAGCGCAACACATTTTTAACTTGTTTGTCGAGGAATAAAAATAAAATGAACAACAATCCACATAAATGGTTGAGGCCACATCCAATGCAACCTACAACATGTTGCCTTCGACGGCCTCACCAACAAGCCCAAAGCTAGCTTCTACAAACTTGGATGATTGGTTCCCTTCAGCCGCTTGATCTTCCATAACCTCTTACTATAGCCATCTTTATCCCAATCTCCATGTCCGTAGTTCGCACTCACTGGAGGTCAGCCACCTAGAAGTGACCCTGGCGACCTTGGCCTCTCCACCACCACTTCCAAACTCGGAGGTTTTTCGACAGGGGCTCCATTATTGACACAAGAATTTGATGCTATTAATGCCCTATGAATCTTAGCCATTAGATCAAAATCATGTCGATTTTGGCTATTGAAGTGTCAATCAATCTCAACTGTTGAAGACGAAGATAATCAAATTTTAAAGAAGGGCCCAAATCGCAAGGTTCGTTGAACACACTCGTGGGGACGCGTCGCTCAGAAACCATCACCTCACACGTCTCCTTGCAATTATTACTTGTAGTCGTCATTTCACTTTGGGAACTCATATCACTATGAATGGCATTCATCCCGCTCCCACATCAACTTGGTGTCTTGTACGGTTGTACCGCCTCGCCCTCATCATCCCAGAAATGGGACTATTTTACCCTCACCTCAACTGTAAGGCCTCATCTCAATAGTAACTCTTCTCCAAGTCTCAATAGGAAGGCTTCGCCTTAGTAGTCAAACTTCGTCTTTGAATCGAAGTGTAATGCATCGTATAAACATTTATACTAGAATTGGGGGACCATTGTGTCACCTCAGCTTCAACGTCAGTACTTTTTCACCTCATTTGCATATTCGCCTTTTAAAGAAAGCCAATCCCCATAATTAAAGTCCAACGCCTTATATGAATAATTAAACCTTGGAGTTCGAAGACTATTGTTAGGCCTATGCCTAGCTGTCGACTAAGAGAAATGCCACGCATACACCTTGGCTCCATCTGAACTGCCTCTCCACCTGATGCGTTAGGACCTCAACCTAGCACTTATTTGCATTCTCCTTTGACGAGACATAACTTTTGGCAGATTTTTCATGTTATCACCTCCAAGGCATTCACGAGCTACCTAACCTTTAGCTATATCAAATGGGTATATCAGGGGTAGTTAAGGTCCAAAATCTCATGCCTTGTGAAAGTCGCAATCTCTAACTATTTGAGCAGTGTACAAAATGATTGATGTGACATCTTCAAAAAGGCGACTAACAATCCATCCCAACTGATTCACCTAGAACATGTTGTGGAAAGTCACGGGCCTATGATGGCTAGTTTGTGACACCAATGAGCTTAACATGTGAGCTGTCTGTATGAAGCTACGTGTTAAGCATCTAATGGTCTCATTCATAGCTCACTTGCCTACAAATAATCAAGTTTTGTATCATTTGAAGGTAATCATAACCTTGGATATTGAACTTTTCACTTGTAATCTAAACTTGACTCCCCGTAGTCTCCCATCATTCGTGCTTCTCTCATACCTAATAAATTGTTCGCTAATTTGACTTGAGAATTGAAGTGCATGTAATTGCTGTACTTCCATCTTAGAGTGGCGATTTATGCATCTTATGTGTCTGTCCAAGTGTGCTAACATACACGTGGAAGCGAGAGAAGTTGTAATAAGTTGACGTCTAGTTCTAGATAGATTCGAAGGCAACAAATATCATGTCGAAGCACATAAATTAAAAGCTTTAATTGTTAAAGAGAATTACATGCATATCATTTAAATTTGATATTCAACATAATCAACACGAAACACACCAAGTCGAAAACAGAACTACAGTAAGATGATTTCACTGAAATTCATATAACACACAATTTCATTGAACGGATAGTAGTGGGACTTTAACATAGGAGCTCTGATACCTGTTTGAACAACTAGATTTTGTTTGGTATTGCTTTTAAGTCATTAAGTTCTTATAAATTGTTAATCCTACAAAATGTGATTTAAACGGATAGGAATTTATCGGTCCTATAATGTGAACAAAAAGTACGCTTAACCAATGCATTACGAGGAAAGATGATTTCGCCAAAACTCTCATATACCAGAGTTTTCTATAGTATTGAAAACCCGATTGAAACCAAATGGAGAATAAACATGAACTGCAGATAATTTTTATTTACCAAATACCGGTCCATAGGGTAGCAGTTAAGCACTGAAGTTGTATACACATAATACAGTGAAGTACCAATGATCATATCCTCAATGTACAAGAAAAATTGAGCACATTTATCTACACGTAAAAGTTACTTTTGAGTAGTCGTTCTTTCCGAACATCTTTGAGATTTTTCAGAAGTTAATTTTTGGCAGGATTTTTATTTCACTTTTTAAAAAGTATTTTAAGTTGGCCAATCATGCTCTGAACTTTGCGCATCCTGAATTTTAGGGCATTCAAGCACTAAATCCCCTGTAGAGAGAGCTCCAAGAACTGGATGGGAAACTTGCACATGCCTGAGCCGATGCCTCAGCCATTTGTTCTTGCTTTATGCCAGCATTGCAGATGTTAGCGATAGAACGCATGTGTTTCATTCCATACTGGGATAGTGATCCACAGTGCGTCTCAAATGATCTAACCTGCAAAGCAAATAAGAGTAAGGCTGTTTTTCTCAGAACAGAATGTCCGGTGATACACTGGTGGCATGTTTGGTATGGTTGGTTAGACAGCATTGGACAATATTAAACAATGGAATTTAAAAAGTTGTCTATTACACTGTTAAATAGGATCTAATATTGCATATCAGAAACCTTGTTGACTCGATTACACTGTCAAATGTAATGCCCACCAAATAGAGTCAGCACATGGGAAGTTATTTTTAATCCTTAGGACTTAAAAATATACTACTAGGGTGAAGATATTGTGGGAATGCAGTTACAAATCTTACCAAGGATTTAAGACAGTCCCAGTCATCAACAATAGGTTGGCCTGTAGGCCGAATGGTCTTTAGCACTTCAGGCCCTTTTTTGATTCCAAAGAGAAGTTTTCCGACAAGTTTGATACTACTGTCGATGTGTGTTCTGTGTGCCATAGCATTAGCAAGCTGCTTCTGAGCTTCAAATTTCCTAACAGAGCCTTCAGGAGCCTTAAGGAACTGCAGTATATTATGCAAATTATTATACACATCTAAATATTTTTAGCATCAAGAGGACTCCTTAACTTTCATGCAATTTCATCCACACCTTGTCCTTGGTTTCAGTTTTGCCCTGCTCAACTCCTAACCCGAATTCAAGCCAATTGAAAAATAAAGTAAAAAGAAATTCAATGCTAACTGAAATTCAGGTTATAATTGTCACATGGAAAAGTTGGTGAAGAGTAGAACGGAAATTGCTTCTCATGAATGTAGTAGGAGGGAAGTCTTGGAAGCATCAAAAAAAGAAACGGAAAATAAAATTTTCTATTTTCATTCCAAGCAATATGTAGCAAATTTTAGTAGCATTTCCCAAAAAAATAAAAAATAAAAATAAAAAAATAAAATAAATTGTTGAACCACTCGATGTGAAAGCTTAAGTTGATAGAAATGACCACATATATCATTTCAATCTTGTCTCAAAAGAAACATATATACTTAAATTTCTAGATTATGGGGTGCTTCATGTATTTTAGTGTATTGAAGGTTCTGGCAATGCCCTCTTCTAGCCATATAATTAGGCTAAGCTATCACTTTAGCAGACAGCAAGTTTTTTCTGATTATTATCCCATCTTAGTTTAGATTTTTTTTCCATATGCAAAATATAATGATCTAAATAAATGGTAATTTTACTTTCCAGAATCCTACAAAAAATGAAATCATTTAAATAAAGGGCCTGACAGAGTATGGTATCGTCATCCAGGGAGCTTTTTGCTTCTTTTCTGGGAAGTCTTGGCGTACTTTGTTACAGAATACCAGCATGCTTAAGCCCATACATTCTGAATGTATATTAATGATACTGCCAGCAGCTTCACTAATGTCCAAATAATGGACTCAAATTTAACATTGGATCTGCCTTTCAAATTTGACCTCAGCTTAACTGACCTCTTATGTTCAATATTACCTCTAAATGGTACCAATGTATGAAAAACACGTATTATAATTAAAGCGTGTAGTTGATTCAGTCTAGTAGAAAAAGGAGTTACATATACCTTATGCCAAAAATGTAAAAGATCAGCATCACGCTGGTTAACAGCTTTCGAAGATAAATACAGTGCATTGTTGTCCACAAAACTGTGATTATCATTTGCAGGATTTGTACCCATGTACAGGAAAAGATTCTCCATACTTAGCTTCAAGTCACCATATTGCATGACATGGGAGCCATAATAAGAGTTTTGATTAGCAGTTCTCCTTCTAACCTGGGAATACCAACATAATAAACTCATATGAAATGCACACATAATAACAAACAAACAAGCAAACAAAATGGAGGGCAGCTACACTCGGATATTTCCAGCAAGAATTTACCCATTTATCTCTATTCTTATATTTTTGAGGAGCAACGTCCACCATAAAATGACAACTGAGAGCCATAAATGTGCAATTTTATTAGGTAAATACATGTTGAATTTCAACCTTCCCACCACCAAAAACTGATGCTCTCATTTTGCAGTTTATTTTAGTTAAATACATATGGTTGAATCCAACATTTCCACTACACCGTAAATTTCTTTAGTTTCAGGCCTGACTGTTCAGTTGCAAAAGCACAGATGGATACAAGATCTTACCAGTTGATATTGTTGCCTCAAAGTTTCTTTCTGCAAATTGTGTATTTCACTGGTCATGAACAAATGGGTGTGAGTAATTAGTAAAATATAAAGCCGAATACAGTCATTTAAATAATCAATATAATCCCACTAAATTTCATTACTGGCAAATATACCCTTTTATTTTCTTTCCATAGCTGTTACTAAAAAGCTAGGCAATAAGTTTGCCTACTAAATATCAAGTGATCAACAGGCAAGCCACCAAATAGTATTAGTGATATGCAAAAAAGTAGGAAAATAGATGCGTACCTGTCCTCCATCCAGGCAACACTATACAAGTCACCCAAGCAGGTTTCATATTCAGGGGGAGGACCAGGATTGTCGCCTGGGCAGTAGGTTCCCCAGCTGCTCTCTTCCGAATTTGATGCAGTGGTTGCATATATATTCAAGCCTTCAGGAAGAAGACCCTCAAAAATACTTCCAGATTCACAAGCTTCAAGGTAAAACACCTAATAAATTTCAAAAGAATAGCCCTTCAAATTTTTAAATCATGCTTCAACAATATAAGTTGGAACTGAAAATGAAAGCCAATCATTAATTTACCAAGCTTTTATATGTCCCAGAAGCATGCTTCTTCTTCAGAACATCAACTAGGTCATTTGCGTAAAGGTAAGGATTTGTAGGCATCCCTGAGCATGTGTGTAATATGTAAAAAATAATCCAGTTAGCATAACTAGTCTACCAAGAAGGAAGAAAATGTAAAAACTACGCAAATCAATGGATGCTACTGGTAAGTTACTAACCAAGCACCCCAGGACCACCATGATCAGCATAGTATATGAATATATGATCATTCGGACCGCTATGTACAACTTTTCTGCTACCACCTGTGAGTGCAGTTCTGTTCCCAAGGATCACAGCGAAAAAGTTGTTGACAGTAACATCATCTCCAACATAATCCTGGCTTACAAAAAATCACCACATGAGAAAAAAGAAATACAGTTTCAACAATAAAAAATTTACCAAAAGACTTGAGATTAACACAAACCTTAGGAACTCCTTTATAAACATCCTCGCCATGAGGGCTGTTAATGATGACTCCAGGCCTAGGGTTCTCTTCATTGTAAGCAATGTCGTCATACATGAAAATAATGATATTTTCATCTTTGAGACCACCTCTCTTGAGGATTTGATATGCATGGCATAAATCCGCCTAATACATAAGTAAATGCCTTATATCATATTGACTGTCAAACGAAAATTACAAAGATGATAATATTTAGTTATCATACAAAACCCCTTTCATCTCTATGGGTTGCATTTATAGTTATAGGAAACCATGGAATATATGAGTAAACAACACAGAGTAGTTTAGTTTGTCAGACTAGATCATGGACATAAATGAAACAGAACTTAAAAAACTCAGTTCACCTTTTCCCTTGCATAGGGTCTTGTTCCAATCCAGAACCTGATTAGTAGTTATCTACTAGCTCATAACAACTATGGGATCGTTAGTAAGAATTCACTTTTAAATTTCTAAGAAACTCATCAAAATTTCTTTAATTTCATGTTTACTCTTCTTTCTGCACATCGCACTTGAAGTGAGAGAAATGAGTAAATATTTCAAATCATTAGAATCCTCATGCCAAGAGTTTGATTTTAGAAAGTCCCTAATCAACTTTAGTCGATGGTAGTGCTGGTATGTAAAGTGACTGGTTATAATCTTCATTGGAAAAAGGGAAAAGAAAAGAAAAAAATCGAATTATAGGTCCTTGTAAATACTATTTGTTTCTATAAATGTGGAATAAGTTAAAATAGAATTAGTCCACCTCCATATAAAACAAAACAAAGCAAGACCAAACAAATGAAGATGCTGTACTAAACATGAATCTTCAAAAAAGACGTAAAAGAATTAGAAATGCAATAGCAATAATGGCATTATGTTATTCACTTCCATCGGCTGCCAAAAAGAAACGAATATTCAAACAAAAAATAAATTATAAATTTGTGTGGGCTAGTCACTTCAAAAGATAACTAGACCTAACATAAGATCGTTTTCAGTTTCTTTTATCAAGATTAATTGCCAACTTATTTTTCCAATTCCAGATTACTATTAAACAGTGTAAGGAAACCACGCCCTTTTTCACTTGTAAGAGAATTCACAACATTAATATAAAAAGAATTAGCTCTTTTACTTGAGAAGATTCTTAACAGCCAAATTTGAAATCTTGACGACATAGAACTAAAAATGGAACGAAATCTAAGCTGTGAACACCCACCCCACATTATGAAGATTACTTTAGCTACGAACTTTCAGAAAATGTCAGGAGTTTCATCAAGTTGAGTAATGAAAAATTTACATAGGCAGACAATAAATTGTACACTCTTTTCAAAAAATACAATAAAAAACCAAAAAGAGAATCGCTGATTTAAACATAAATGAGAAAACGTGTAATTCTAACAGGATCATAAAACTAAATTTCTGCCAAAAAGAATAATAATAACAGAAGCAGTTAATTTCAATCATAAACAATTTAATAAATTTGTGTTTGGGGGGATAATCACCTGGTGCCGGTAATTCCAATAGCCGGTGGAACCAGCAAGAAGGACGGCCCATTTGGTCCCCACGGTATCGTCATTGGCATCACCGTTACTGTCATCAAAGAGGCCAAAGAATTGGCGAGCTTCTGACGGCAGCTTGATCAAATTCCGGCCGTCGGCAACGGCCAAGATCGAAAGCGCTAGGAGGAAAGATGCACCGGCGGCAAACCAAAACATCATCGTCACCGGTGAGAAGGAATTTTTTTATTTATATTTTTTTGGATAAAATTGAGTCTGTATATATAGTGCAAGGTAAAGTCCCTGACCGGAAAAGATCCTCTGCAGCGTAGACATGTGTAATATATTTGAAATCGGTGTACGTTAGGAGTTTTAACTTTGAAGTTTAATTTTACTTAGATTAATAAGATTTTCAGCTTTTATCAACTTTTTCAATAACACATTTATTAACTTTTATTAAAATTTATTAAAATTTTTATTTTTTAACAAAATCAAATAGAATTAAATTTCATCATAATTACACTATTGAGTATATTACCGATAATTTGACCAACAAAAATATTAATGGGACATTTAAAATATGATGAAATTAAGACACGAGTTAGCAAATTTTTGACAAATTCGATATTAAATAGAAATAGAACACACGTAAAATACAAATACAAAACTCACAACCGCATTTATAATATTTGGTCATTTTTACACTTAAGTCCTCAATAATTTTTCGTTATATTCTTATCATTATATAAAACTAAATAAATTATTATAACATTATAATATTTGTTGAAATTCTAAACTATCCACACACAATTTTACTAAGTTACAAATCCCAATATACAAAGAGAACGTACAATAAACAAAGGTGCGGAGAGTTTATTGAGGCTACATTTTTTTTTAATTTCCTGCCAATGGAGAGCATGTGAAATGGATTGAGAAATGACTATTTTTATAATTAATAATTAATGTAAATAAATGAGATGGGAGATGCATGATTGCTTTATGTTAGCACATACGCTATGTAATAAACATAATTAAGGTCATTATAGCTATAATAACCAAAATTTTTCATTCTAGAACTATTGTCAATTAAAGCAATTTGGTGTGGATTAAAGGTAATAATTGTTGTCATTGAAATCAATTTGTTGTGGACTAGAGCTTCTGAAAACTCAAAAATAGCCTAAATAATGATTATGCATGCGAATGTATTCATGTTGGACATTGAAATTTTTGAGAAGTCAATTTGTGTGAGACAAATTCTACAAAAATAAATAAATAAATAAATAATATGATTGTTTTGATCTTTGATCAAATTTTTTATAATGATAAAAAGATAATGTAGATCTTCTCTCTCTATTTTTATTTTTTAATTCTTTTAGTAATACCTATCTAAATGATGAACATAAGAAACACATAAGTTGATGAGCGTTGTGAGGTTTTATTTATTTATTTAATTTTTTCCCCGATTAGTTAAGCTTGGTACACATTTCAATTTAACTTCTAATATCATGGATTTAATTATATTACATTTCTATTTTCGATTAATCTATTACCACGAATAATTTTAAATGTATAAATACATTCGTTTGGGACATTCTAAGCATGTGGCAGTCCGATAATATTATTGTCTCATCATATTCATGAAAATATGCATTAAATTTTTATTCATATTGATGAATCTGTGGAGTCATCTTTGGCTGGACATCTATATACTAGGAGCTTGTTTGGGAGGGATTAAAATCAAATTAAAATTGAAAATATAGTCGTTATTGTTGATTTTTATTAGACGGGTGGGATAAATATGAATTTATCATTTTGTTCAATTTTTAGAGCTTGTTTGGGAGAGATTAAAATCAAATTAAAATTGAAAATATAGCTGTTATTGTTGACTTTTATTAGACGGGTGGGACCCAATAACGGCCATATTTCCAATTTTAATTGGATTTTAAGCCCTCCCGAACGGGGCCTAGATCTCTTTCCACTATTGTGATTCATCTTTGGCTTGACGATTTATATTTTTATTATTTCTAATTTTACGGTTTTTATTTAATTGTTTTATTATTTATTAAACTTTAATTTTGATAATTACTTTTAAGAGAGATGATCGAAAATTAGCATATGTGCAATTATATTGAACTTTGGTTAATAGGATTTTGTTGAAACGTGAACATCAACTACTTTTATTGGTTTTTGATTGATTTTTATATTAAATCAAACCATTTGAGATTCTTTTTCATATTTACCCAATTTTCGAAATTAAACAAAATTTGAAGTGTTAATTATAAATAGCATATGTTGCTGCATCATATTGATATCTGAGCACAATCACGTTTTTGATAAAGATGTGTGTTGTATGATATTATATTTGTATGATATGTCTTTGTTCTTGATATTCCTCAAGTGTACGGATCGTGACAAGTAATAAAGTGGATTTATAAGTCCGGATATCATCCCACAGAGACTACTATCTACTATAAATTTTTAAACTACTCTAGTTTCAATTTAAATTAAAATAGTAACTAATGATCAAATCAAGTTTTGTTTTCTAAGCGAAATTCTAATAAATAAAATAACAAACTCAAATTAAAACTGTAGAAGAGATTATGTGATTGGATAGTTAGGATTTCCAATTTCACTTAGGTTATTTATCATACATTTAATTCCAATTTATTCAGACATCTCTTCACACCTGCTAACGATCGAATTAACCTATACAAACTCAAATTAAAACTGTAGAAAGATTATGTGATGAGATAGTTAGGATTTTCTATTTCACTTAGGTTATTTATCATACATTTAATTCCAATTTATTCACTTATTTTTCATACATGTCAACGATCGAATTAACTTGATATAGTTAGTGATCTCTCGAGTAACACTAATCCTATTCATACGCCCTAACTTACTATATCTCTATGTACATTCACACACATATGAACGCATTTATCTATAGGAATTCAACAAAGATCGCATAGCTTTTAATTATTTCTCGATCTCTTATAATGTCTATGTCAATTATTGCACGAGTTAGAATTATACATCACATCTCGCTCTCAGTATTATCTTTAAATCAATTAATTGTTGTGTAAACAAATAATAGCATTAAACACACAATAATTAATTAACAAGTATTAAAATGACATGAAAATCTTGAAATTAAATATATAATAAAAATCTTAAGCTACATCATCAATCCTAACAATAAAAATATTTAGTCACTCATAATATTGAATTTAAACACGCAAAAGTGAAAAGGCATCACAAAAAATTGACGAAACGTGAAAATTTCTGGTGTTTTTATTTTCTTTTTCTTTTCATTCTCTTTTCTTTCTATGCATCTTTTCTTTGTGTTAACTTTCCCCCCTTTTTCTTTTCCTTTTTTCTTCCTTTCATTTCTTTCCTCTATTTTCTTTTCTCTGTTTCCGTCCACAGTCGCGTCAGCTTCCTCTTTCTTTTATTTTTCTCAATTACTTGCCCTCCATCTTCTGCTTGTGTATCTCTCCTTTATATATTGCAGCTCCCATTTAGTCTAATTTTAAAAATCCAAGTTGGGGTCTACTAAATTCTAATACCAAATTAAACTAATTCTTCTTTCCAAGCCCTCAATTCTTCTATGTAACGCAAGTTGATCCTTAAAATAATTTTATTGTGCAACCTATGCCAATTTAGTCCTCATACTTTGGATTTTGTCATTTTTTCGCTATTTTGTATTCTTTTATTCAATTTTTCGTTAAACATAAAGTTTTACCTATAAAATACAATTTAACATAAATTAGGTAGAATTTTATTCAAAAAACAATAAAATATCATGATTTAGCGCCACAAATAAGTATAATAACTACACTTATCACACCCAAAAACTTGACTTTTTGTTTGTCCTCAAACAAAACTAAAACCTAACAAATACACAAACATGAAATACTGATTAAATCTAGTCAATCAAGCAATGCATAAAGATTTAGCTAGCTAACCTGACCTTTTATCTCAAGATTGAAATCATAATATTAAATCTAATCACAGTTTCAAAATCACAGTACATAAATTAAAATCTACTTTTCCAATGTAAAATCAACATGTGTCTGTGTGAAGAATTATGCATAGTATTATGAATTTATAAGTTGTTTCAATTCCCGACCATCAATGGTCAGATATATTCTTTCATCACTCGTAAGATTCACACACCCCAAACTTATTCTTTTAACTCTTTTCACGTGTGTGAACTAAGGTTGAATTTTATACTATCCCCACCTCTCTAATTTAGGTAAATCTCACTAATTACTAGTCAACATGTCAATCAATCTCTAGGACTTAAGTAGACTAATAATCTCTCGTCAAAAGTTAAATTTTTCCAAATAAGTGTTTGGGACATAACCAAGACATTTAATGAGTCTTCTGTTTCATACACCTGCCTTTTCTAATTTTCTTAATTTTTTTTATTTATTTGAAACATTCTCACCTTTAAACTTTCTAAATGACCCATGTAATAAGCTTTCGACCGATGACTCCCAAATCAGATGACCATAGGGTATCAGATTTTAAAAACCCTTACAGACTTAATTGTTCGAGTCATAAAGACTACGAAGAGAAATTTTCAAATAAAATTTTTTTTGCTTTGATTAGTGCAATATCCCTCATTAAACACCAATTTAAGAAAAACAACACCTAACTTGAGATTTTCACCAAAATTCATCCATTGACCTTAGACAATATACACAAGAATTTTTTTTTTCACACGTGGAATCTCCATTTATCTCAACATCTTCCAACAATAGTGAATTCCCCCAAACTATTCTAATGTGGTCCAATGATGTAAAATTTTGTGGTTTTGAGTTCAACATCTATGGTTCACTATTTCAACATATCCAATTATGAATTCATCTCGTTCATACACAATGTTTAACTTAATTCATAATATATCAAATTTCACATGAAAAAGCAAAAGTTAATATAAGCTTGCAATTTATTCACATTCATAGATCAATTTATGATTCAATACATTTCCCATTTCCAGCCAACCCAACTAATTCACACAAGCACAAATTTTTTTTTTGAAATTTTTGAAAATTCTCAATTTTTTTAAAGCAACAAAAGCACACAAAAACACATAAAAAAATGAAAACTTTCGTTTTCCACCCCCAAACTTAAATTAGACATTATCCTCATGTCTTAAATTCTAAATTCCCATATAAAGGGGTGGGGAATAAAGTGAAGAAAATACTTCCCTG